TTTTTTAAAGTATAGAATTTAAAATCAGGGGCTGGCACTGTAGCACAGCGAGTTAATGCCTCTGCCTAAAGTGCCAGCATCCCATATGGACGCCAGTTCGAATCCTGGCTGCTCCACTTTTGATCCAGCTCTCTGCTATGGCCTGGGAGAGCAGTAGAAGATGGCCCAAGTCTTTGGGGCCCTGCACCCACCTGGGAGTCCTGGCTTCAGCTCAGTTCTTGCCATAGTGGTCATTTAGGGAGTGAATCAGTGGATGGAAGATCTCTGCCTCTCTCTGTAACTCTGTCTTCCAAATAAATAACATAAATCCTTTAAAAAAAGAATTTAAAGTCATAAATTACATTTGTGATTAATTTGTCAAAGGTAGCAAGACAACTCAGTGGAGAAAGAATAACTTTTTCAACAAATAGTGCCAAGATACCTGTATGTCCACATGCAAATGAATTTGGATTCTTTCATCACTCTGTAAGCAAAATTTAACTTACAGTGGATCAAGGATCCAAATATAGGAACAAAACCTATGACATTCATAAAAGAGAACGTAGGAGCCACTCTTTAAGACCTTTGGTTAGACAAACCCATTTGAATATAGCACCAAAATTATAGACGACAAAACAAAGAAATTGGACTTCAACAAAATTAAAGACTTTCTGTGCTTCAAATGGCATTTTGAATAAAGTGATAAAACTACCTTTAGAATGAGAGAAAATATTTGTAAATCCTATTTCTGATAAGAGATGTGGATCCAGAATATGTAAAAAACTCCTATAACTGCCTAATAAAGACATGTGACCCAGTTGGAAAACAGGCACAGGATCTGAATGGACATTTCTGCAAAGAAGATAACAACTCACCAGTAACACACGGGGAGACAGATGCTTGAGATCGCTGGGTACCCCAAGGCATTCCAGGAGACACTCCCCAGGACAGCTGCAGTCGCAAGGGTGTAAGCAGTGTCAGGAGAATGTGGAGAGACTGGAACCTGTGCCGCTGCTGGTGAGGATGCAAGGTGGCATGGCTCCTTTGGGAAGCAGTCTACAGATCCTGCATAAGTTAAATAGAGTTACCAGAGGACCCAGGGAGTCTAGGTGTATACCCAAAAGAAATTAAAGCAAGTCTGCAAGAACACTTGGGCCTGAATGTTCAGAGCAGCGTTGTTCACCATAGCCTAAAGAAGGAAAGACCCAAGTGTTTGCTGATGAAGGGATAAATCGATGTGCTCTGTCCCTACAACCAAGTATTATTTAGCCAGCAGAAGGAGTCATAATAATAAATAAATATTGGCTGGCGCCGCGGCTCACTAGGCTAATCCTCCACCTGCAGTGCCGGTACCCTGGGGTTCTAGTCCCTGTTGGGGCGCTGGTTTCTGTCCCGGTTCTCCTCTTCCAGGCCAGCTCTCTGCTGTGGCCCAGGAGGGCAGTGGAGGATGGCCCAAGTCCTTGGGCCCTGCACCCGCATGGGAGACCAGGAGAAGTACCTGGTTCCTGGCTTTAGATTGGCGCAGCGCGCTGGCCATAGCAGCCATTTGAGGGATGAACCAATGGAAGGAGGACCTTTCTCTCTGTCTCTCTCTCTCACTGTCTAACTCTGCCTGTCAATAATAATAATAATAAAATAAATATTATTTAGCCAGTAGAAGGAGTAATAATTAATAACTATTATTTAGCTAGGAGAAGGAATGATGTCTCCTTTCAGCCACGAAGTGGATAAGCTTGAAAATGTTATGCTAAGGGAACGAAGCCTGTCCCAAAAGACCACAGACTGTGTGGTTCCATCTATATGAGTGTCCAGCACAGGTAATCCATAGCAACAGGAGTTGATCGGTGGCCTAGTTTTGGGGCATGGGGAAGAAATAGCTAGGGACTGTGAGGGGCACCGGGGTTCTTTTGGAGGTTATAAAAGTACTCTTAAAATTCATTGTGGGTGATGACCATAGAACTCTTAATATACTAAGTGCTATCCAAGTGTAGACTAAATGGGTGAGATGTATGATGTGTGAGTTATATCTCAAGATAGCTGTTCCAAATAATAGCATGTAAAATCAAAATTTTAAGAACTAGAAATTTTGACTAATTATCCAAGATAACTTCTGGACCCAGACAAGAATGGATATGCAGTTCTAGCGTGACACTCAGAATCCTGGTACTGTAAGAACCTGAGCATTGTAATTACATAGATCTCTGAATCCCGTTTTAGAGTGGCCCAATTCCGTAGTCTCTGAATCTCAGCTGCTTCATGTACAAAATCAGGATGTTAGTACTTTGTCCTTGGGTTGCTCCGGAAACTCAATGAGTTCCCCATGTAAAGAGCTCAGCGCAGTGCTGACGGTGACAGCCGTCGTGAGATGGCCATCATCCTGGGATTGCGGTGAAGGTTGGAAGAGAAGGACACTGCCCTGTCCTTGCAAGTGCCGCTCCTTCTGCCCGGAGTGCCACCCCAACCTGAACCCCCTCCCAGGCCTCACCAGGACACTCAGTGCTGGCTCCTTTCCTGGTGAGCACTTAAACCAAGTCTGGTCACTGAGATGCAGGCCCCGACCGCATCCCCCCTCGCACGCCTGTCTTTCATTAGTCCTCAGGACTGGTCTGTCAGCCTGCCTTCCACCCTGTGTGCCGCCCGAGGGGCTGCTGCTTGTGTGTCCAGCTCAGCGTGTGGTCGGCTAAGCGCAGGGTCAGTACTAGTTAAAGGCAGGTAAGTAGTTTGGCAGCGTCAGACACTTCTGTTTGACTCCTAAACTTTAGTTTATTGGTCAGCAGGAAAATCAGGACAGTTCTGTACTGAGAACTTTGTCTAATACTTCGACATCACTAGGTAATGAATATACTTTGAGATCATAGAAGAGCCCTGAGTCTGGAAGACACACATCAAAAATCCGGAGTTTAGTTATAAATTTAAATTTGCCATGAGTTCATAAAAAATAGAAAATTTAAAACTCTTGTCATAGATTTAGAATAATTTTTCTAATAATTATATCTTTATTTTGAAAGGTTTTGTTGTCATTTTTTAAAAGATTTTATCTATTTGAGAGGTAGAGTTGCAGCAAGAGGGAGAAACGGAGAGATCTGCCAACAACTGGTTCATTCCCCGAAAGACAACCGCAGTGACTGGAGCCGAACCCAGCCAAAACTGGGAGCAGGGGCCTCTCCCATCCTCCCACGTGGGTGCAGGGGCCCAAGCACTTGGGCCATCTTCCACTGCTTTCCCAGGCCATAGCAGAGAGCAGGATCAGAAGTGGAGCAGCCAGGATATGAACCAGCACCCATATGGGATGCCTGCGCTGCAGACTGAAGCTTAGCCTATGATGCCATAGTGCTGGCCCCAAAAGGCTGTTTTGAATCTCCATGTGGCTTATTAACTACCATGAAAAGTTGAAACTTTGATTTCTTTATGAATCACTAAGGGAAATTGAGGATTTGGATTTCTGGAAATTGAGAATTTGGATTTTTTTTAATGATATGGCATTGATATAAATCTGTATACCAAGTTATGTAGTAAGTGAATCTGTGTTTCAACGTGCAGTAGGCCGTATTCTTGCCAAAACTTAGAAAACGTATTTAGAAATATTCTCCTTATTCCTGTGCCGGTTCTCCGGGAGCTGAGGCTTTCATCATATTTGTCTCTCTGCCTCATCTGCAGAAGTGCAGAGTTACTGCTGTGTGATAAGCGATCATGCTCATGTCTCTTACCTTGCAGGGAGCCGTTGCTTACTGGTTCAAGTGTGTGTTCCTGCCTTGAACATCTGTCATTAAGTGTTCTCTGATAACCTTGCCTCGATACAGGGGCTTACATAAAGTTGTCTCAGAGCATCTTTAAATTTGGTCATTGTCTTTTGGAAGTAGGTATGGGATGGGTGTTGTGGCACAGCAGGTTAAGCCGTTTCTTAGGACACCATATTCCCTATTGTCATGCCACTTGGAGTCCTGGCTACTCTGCTTCTGACCCACCTTCCTGCTAATGCACCAGTAATGGCAGCAGAAAATGGCCACCCACTGGGGGACCTGGGTGTGGAGCTCCTTGCCCCTGGCGTCAGCCTGGCCCCATCCTGGCCCTATCCTGCTGTTGCTGCCGTCTGGGAAGTGAACCAGTGGCTGGAATCAATCAATCTCTGTCTCTGTCTCTGTCTCTGTCTCTCTTTCTCTCTCTCTTTTTCTGTTACTCGGCCTTTCAAATAAATAAAACAAATAAATCTTGAAAAAAAAAGTAGAAAGAGTGTCATTAAACACTAGAGAACATGAAAACAATTTCAGAGCTTTCTTCAGCTTACGGTACCTTTCATCCAATCATTCCAGAATGCTTACGGAGGACTGCGCGCCCTTCTGTGGGTAACTGAAACAGTGGGCAGGAGCCACGGCAGCGAGCGCAGGGCAGGACACCTTTCCCTTTGGAGCCAGGTCCTGCTTTGTGTTTGGGTGGTTGTGCAGATTTTTAAGCAAGAATGATCACTTGTTTTGTTAAGAAAAAGGCAGCCAAATAAATTTCTTTTTTGTTTCCTTTAACTAGTTCTGCCCTGTGAACTAAGTTACTTTCTCCCTCCTCTCCCCACAGACCCCAAAATAGCTTTATTAACAGGAATATATGATGTTTGTGTTCTTAAAAAAAAATCAGGGTGGTCTTAGATGTCTGTCTTCCATTCTGGCATTTCCTTTTATACAACTCTTTTGAATTTTCTGTTTAAAAACTGGCATTCCAATAGCTTTTCTTTGGCCTGATGCCTGGGTTGCATATTGAAGGAGCGAATTAGGAATGTTGAGACATCCCCCAAAGAAAAATGTCTGTTATGAGAGGAGAGCTGATGTGACACTTAGAATTAGGACTTCTTAACTTTTCTAAATGACAGTTAATGATCTTTTCTCTTTCTCTCTTTTTTTTTTCTTTCTAATATTTTGAAGGGGATTGAGAGGAATGAAAGAATTGCCCAGAGGCCAAGATTGGATTTGGTTCACCAAACTGTTAAATGTCAAATGTACTCCACTGATAATACATCTTTTGTCTCTTTTTAGGAGCTAATTTTGTTACTCGAAAAATTAGCCGGTCGGTAGCTAAAATTTACCTTGGACAACTGGAATGTTTCAGTTTGGGAAATCTGGATGCCAAACGAGATTGGGGCCATGCCAAGGACTATGTGGAGGTAGGAACTGATTCATTACATTCTTAAAAGTACTGTGTCAGTTGATGTTGAAATGCCAGCCTCTCGTGAAAACGCGTGGCCTGGAGGTGGTGGCACACAAGCTAATGCCGGCATGTTCTAAGTCATGGCACTTTCACTAAGACACAGTTCTTCAGGAGTTGCATGTAGCTCACTGATTGTTGCTTGAACAGGGAAATCTTTTACAAGTGTTCATTTAATTGTTTAAGACACAGGTGTTGATCAGTACTTCGGATGATGGATGGGTAACTGAAAAAATGTTTGAATCGTGGGCTTTGCTTTCGAGGTTCCTACCTAACCCATCCCCCTTTGTTGCACTTTGTCCTTCCTGCCCAGTAGTCACATCGCAGGACGTGCTTCATGGAAGATACTAATTCTATGTAGTTTCCATTTGTAGAATCAAAGACCTTCAGATTTGCAAAATTATTCCATTACATTCGCTAGGGGTGATGTTACTGCGGGACTTTTCGCTTCTGCCGCTGAGGCCGGTTTATCCCTCTGCGTACTTCTTACCCCGCATACCTGTGAACTGTGTCCATCAGATAGAGACAGGTACCGAGATCCTGATAATGGTGCTGTGACAAACAGTGGATGTAGCTAAAGGGAAACCCAGACTGTGATTCTTGGGATTCCTAGACAAGGTGGGGGCTTGGGTTCACGTGCGTGTGGTGTGAGTGTGCTTTGCCCTGACTAGCGTGCTTTCAAATCTGCGTGTTAGTTCTGTGGTCTCTCAAGAAGGATCGCGGTGGTGACCATGTCCATCTCCCTGGAGTCCTGGTCCGAGAGCTCCTGTGCTGTGTACCTGCCTCTGTTCCGAATGACGGCTGACCGGGGAGCAGGTCCAGCTCCCTTGTTCATTGATGGAACTGCGCAAGCAGCTTGAGCATCTGCGAGAGTGAACAAGTAGTTGGCTTGCTAAGGCAGAGGTTCGGTTCCACCGTGTCTTTGTCTTGCTAAGGCAGAGGTTCGGTTCGACCGTGTCTTTGTTTTTGTTCATAACAATTAAAGCTGCGTGTGTGCTTGAGCACTTAATACTAATTAATATGAGCACAAAATCACTTCTGATTTTAAATTTTGAACAGAGTAACATTTATATCTTTTAAATATGCTTTTCTAAATTAAAGTTACAGGAAACATTTTATGACAATAGTCCTTGGATATATTTTAAGAATTTTATATCAAAAAAGGTTGATACTGCTAGAAATTATTAAGAAAGTGGAGAAAGGGAACTGATGGCTGAAGCTGACTTTTGGTCTAGTCTAAGTAGCTTGACCTACAGAGAAATGTGAGACAAGTTGCTAAGAGTGAGCGTGTTGTTTTCTCAATCATCCCATTTTAGCATAGTCTTCACACCACCTGTACATGCTTAGAGTTGTGTAGAAAGCTATGTAGGTATCCCTCACTATCCAAACCCGTCTTCAGATTCAAGCCCAAACAGATTAACTTTCTACTTTTTTGATTGATTGATTGATTGTTGCTTGGGCAATAAGGACGTTTGTGTTTGTGTTGAGCCCAGCAACCACATAGATTTTGATTGTGAGGGAAATGTTGTGTCCCCGTGTTGCTAGTGCGTGTCATGGGTTATGGTCTTTTCTTCTTTATGCTTTGTATATTTCCCATGTTATTTGAAATCAACGCATGTTAACCTTGCGCTGGGGCGTGGGGTGAGAATAACATTTAAAAAATAAATTTAAAAATCCAGCCGAAGTGATTGGGACTGTGAAGTAGGCACAGAGGTGATGAGAAAGGCTTGTGTGAGCCCCTGCTCCTGCTGGCATCTTCCTCCCCAGACGTGAGGGCTGGCCCTGCTGCCGGAATAGCCCAGATCTTGGCACAAAGGGCCTACATTTGTGTTCATATAAAAGGAAACATTTTGGTGCAAATATTTGAAAAAGGTTGTCCCACATGAAGTCATTTTCGTTAAGTGCCTGACAAGATGATGTCTGCACAGCACGCCCAGGAGGCGAAACACCGCACAGGAGTGAGGCACTCGGGCCCTTCCACAGAACGTGGAGTTGCCGGGGGGGTCCGCAGGGGGCGGTGCACACACTTGAAGGGAATTCATTGTCCTTGGCACCAGACTTGCTCTGTCCCATGAAACCAGTGGGTTCTGTGGATGCAGCGTTCTCTGGGTTCTAATGGCAACATATGTTGATGATTGATGGAAGAAACATTTTACAGCCCTCATTTATGTGTTCCGGAAGAAATCTAAATGTCTTGATTTCTAAAAAGGTACCATTATTAAGTAAGAATTCATGACTTTGCTACTCTCCATTTTGAGAATTATTGCCATTCCTTGAGATTCCAATGAATGAAGTTCTCTCAGAGATTTATGATTAACAGTAAATTTTTGGCTAGTTAAATCATCAGTCACAAAAATGAAAAAAGAGAAGCTTTGTTTGAAAGACACGTGCATCCTGATACTATAATCAACTTTAGAATAAAGTGCTTGCAAATACAGATAAAACAACCCATAAAAATGTCCCACTTGTGCACATTTAATTGTGTAATCCTTCTCATTTATACCCAAAAATACTGGGGTATATTTTGGTTAAGTGACTTATACTTTTTTACTTGCAGATGAATTTTTATTTGTAGGTAAATTTTCCTGACTAGTTTGCTGGCAGACGGGGTGTGGCGCTCCCGGCCATGCCAGAGAATCACTCCCCAGCCTTAGACAGGTTGTGGTATCTCAGTTTACCCAGAAGGACAAAGCAACATCCTGTAAAAAATGAGCACTACTGTGAGATATACACACACACACACACACACACACACGGAGCGTGCCTCGGTCTTGTAAACATTGTTGCAACAACTTGTACAAAGTCATTTCCTGTTGCTGATAATAATTCATTAACATCACTTACAATTTTGCTTCATAGATCAAAATGTTTTAAAATTTAAATAACTAAGAAGTATTTCAACCTGAAATGAACAAAGAATATAAAAACTATATTAAATTATATTGTACTTCAGAATCAATAAGTCACAGGCAGTTACATATTTTCCAGTCTTTTATTAAGTATAGAATGGAGTAAATTTGATTATGATCACCACCCATTTACCCATCACCAGATTCTGTATTAGTATCTTCAAATACTGTTGCAAGTTTTTAAAAAATTACTATTTAAGTCATTATTGTAGTGCTAATGGCTCACAGTTGTAAATATCAATTTATAGAAACACAATGTAGCAAAAAGTTCAATTCAAACTTGTACAATATTTTTATCTGATTAAATATTCTTTTAGTTTGTATTAATATAAAGAGAACAGGTATCATGTATTCATAGATTGGGAGAAGCCATACTCTCCCCCTCCTTCCTTTCTTGCCATCTTTTCATTTAATTTTTGCAACAGCATACTTTTAATTGACTTTGTAATCACAGGCTTAATGTACCACCAACCATAATGTTCAGCAGGTAAAAAGTGCAAAGACCTACCTTTGTTCACAGGAATATCAAAAAGGACTATAAAATAATCAAATTATAAGATGCCAGTTTCTTTCTTACACTTTTTCTATATTCCATATTTACTACCGCATATCAGAGAAAACATGTTTGTCTTTTTGTGACTCACTTATTTCACTAAGCATAATGGTCTCCAGTTGCATCTACTTCATTGCAAGACAGGATTTCATTATTTTTCATGGCTGAAGAGTATTCCATAATGCACATGTACCACATTTTCCTTAGTCATCCCTTGATGAAAATCTGGGAGAATTCCATGTCTTAGTTATTGTGTACATGAAGGCACGAGGAACTCTTTCATGTGCCGATTTCTTTTCCTCTGGGTCAGTTCCCAGGAGTGGGATGGCTGGGTCACATGGTAGATCTCTTTGCAAATTTCTGAGGAATCTCCATGTTGTTTTACATATGCTTGTCTCTGTCGCAGCCTGTTTTCCTGCCTCCTTTCTTCATTTGCGTTGAAACAGCTCCTGGTCCTCATGAAAACATACTGGGGGCTCGCAGCACGCCTTCGGGCAGACTCGAGCCACCAGCTTCCAGCAGAGGAGCACTCTGCCTGCTCAGTGTCCTCGTGCACTCGGCGGATCTGGAGCTCCGGCCACCAGGCAGGCGTGTAGGCTTCTGCCAAAGCTGGTGAGACTAAAAACAGGCTGCACTGACAAAGTCAAGCAGGTTTCTTAATCATAGGATCAAGTTCTCACAACTCGTGATAAAATTATGATATATGAATATGTACTATTATCAGGTAAGATTGGTAGATTTCCCAAACTTATTGGCCTGGGAACCCTTTTTTTAAAAAAATTTTCATTTATTTATTTGAAAGGCAGAGTTAGAGAGAGAGAGACAGAGATCTTTGATCCCACTTTCATGAATGTCTAGAACACAGCAATAGCCAGAAAATACTGAGCGTTAAGTTCATTGGTAAGGGCCAGACCAGTTGTATCCTCACGCTTTCACCACACCTAAGGAGGTCACCTGCTTTGGGGACACACAGGTAGTCAAGAACACTGAGTCCCTGCTTTGTGGAGGGCTCAGCAGAAGCCATTCATAGACTGGTGAGAGGCTTTCCTGCCCAGGCCTGGCCACGCAGGTCCACAGGCAGCCCTGGGCGTCACCTTGTTTGCAGCAGGCTTTGAAGGTCACCAGGAGCAAAGATCGGATAACAGTTAGGCTGTTCTTCGAATCAGAATTACTGAATGGTGGACACTTTTTCCATGCCAGAGGCTTTTACATAGGCTGTCATGTGTAACAGGCGCAACACTCCTGAAAGGCAGGCAGTACAGCACATCTTCACTGTGCAGGTGGAGGAGACAGAGGGCTTCAGTGATTGTTCAAAGTCATGGCCAGAAAAGGTGAGTGAAGCCAGCACTCCAGCCCAGAAGGATGCCTGAGCCATGCTCATTGATGCTGATGTAAGGAAACTGGGGTTGGAAGCAGCAGGACGTGGGTAATCTTCCACTTGCGGAGAGACAGAAAATTCAGCTTTGCTTCCTTTTTCCTTCCTGCCTTTATGATCCA